TGGCTATGAAGGAATGTCAACTTGGTAAGGAGGATAGAGGGTGACAGGGTAATATTATTCTAAAGGGGGTGGTCAGGGAAGGTCTCTCAGATAAAGTTGTGTTTGAGCAGAAAACCTAAGGAAATGGGAAAACAGATTAAGTGTACTGCTGGGGAGAAACTCTCCAGGCAGAGGGAAGAATAGGGCAGGCGTGTCCTTGGCAGCACCAGGAACAGTCAGGGAACCAATATTGGGGAAGTAGAGTTATGAAGAGGGAGGGTAGTAGAAAATGAGGTCAAATAAACAGCAGCATGCCAGGTCACCTAGGGCTTTGGGGCCATGGTAGGGAATCTGGGTCCTGCTCTGAGAAGGGATGCCATTAAAGGTTTTGAGAAGAGTGCAGTGGTCTGACATGACTTTTAAATTGTGCCTCTGGAGGTTCTTCAGAGAATAGCTGGCAGAGGGACAAGAAGGAAAGGAGCTAGAACAGTTTGGAGGTTCTTAAAATAGCTGCCTATCTTGGACCAAGGTGGGAGCCTTGGAGGTGATGAGATGCTGGATGTATTTTGAAGGCAAAGCCAAAAGAATTTACTAATGGATTAGATGTGGCATGCAAGAGTCACAGAGGTGTGGGCAGAGACAAAAGTCAAGAATGACTTCAAGGATTTTGGCCTGAGATGCTGTAAGAGTGGAGTTTGCCATTTGCTAAACTGGGAAGCTCAGCAGGAATTCAGTCTTTTTTTAAATGTATTTTTATTTATTTGACGGCATCAGGTCTTAGTTGCAGCATGTGGGATCTAGTTCCCTGACCCGAGATCAAACCTAGGCCTCCTGCACTGGGAACGCAGAGTCTTAGCCACTGGACCCACCAGGGAAGTCCCAGGAATTAAGTCTAGGCATACTTCAGTGAAGTCTGAGATACTTCTAGACAACTGTGACAACTAATTTTATATGCATCCACTTGGAGAGTGTTTTTGAATGAGATTAACATTTGGATCCATGAACTCTAGGTAAACGGATTGCCCGCCATGATATGGATAAGCCTCTTCCAATCAGCTGAAGGCCTGAATAGAACAAAAATGATTGCCCTTCCCAAACATGAGGGATTTCTCCAGCAGACTGCTTAATGCACCATCAATTCTCCTGGGCCCCCAGCCTGTTGGCCCACAATACAGACTTTAGATATTTCAGTCTCCATAATCAGGAGAGCCGTTCCTTATAATAAATCTATCTGTACGTATATATGTATGTATCTTCTTCATCTGTTTCTCTAGAGAACACTAATACACTATTTGACACCGCAAACAGTAAGGAGCAGTTAGGTATGTACATCTGGAGTTATATGATTATATTCTTCGCAGCCAAAGATGAAGAAGTTCTATACAGTCAGCACAAACAAGACTGGGAGCTGACTGTGGCTCAGATCATGAACCCCTTATTGCCAAATTCAGACTTAAATTGAATAAAGTAGGGAAAACCACTAGACCATTCAGGTATGACCTAAATCAAATCCCTTACTACTGTACAGTGGAAGTGACAAATAGAGTCAAGGGACTAGATCTGATAGAGTGCCTGAAGAACTATGGATGGAGGTTCATGACACTGTACAGGAGGCAGTGATGAAGACCATCCCAAAGAAAAAGAAATGCAAAAATGCAAAATGGTTTTCTGAAAAGGCAAAAAGGCCTTACAAATAGCTATGAAAAGAAGAGAAGCGAAAGGCAAAGGAGAAAAGGAAAGACATACCATTTGAATGCAGAGTTCCAAAGAATAGCAAGGAGAGATAAGAAAGCCTTCCTCAGTGATCAATGCAAAGACATAGAAGAAAACAATAGAATGGAAAAGACTAGATATCTCTTGAAGAAAATTAGAGATACCAAGGGAACATTTCATGCAAAGATGGGCACAATAAAGGACAGAAAAGGATCATTGAAAAAGCAAGAGAGTTCCAGAAAAACATCTACTTCAGCTTTATTGACTATGCCAAAGCCTTTGACTGTGTGGATCACAACAAACTGTGGAAAATTCTTAAAGAGATGGGAATACCAGACCACTTGACCTGCCTCCTGAGAAATCTGTAGGCAGGTCAAGAAGCAACAGTTAGAACTGGACATGGAACAACAGACTGGTTCCAAATTGGGAAAGGAATACGTTAAGGCTGTATGTTGTCACCCTGTTTATTTAAATTATATGCTGAGTACTTCACGAGAAACGCTTGACTGGATGAAGCACAAGCTGGAAGCAAGACTGCCGGGAGAAATATCAATAACTTCAGATATGCAGATGACACCATCCTTACGGCAGAGAGTGAAGAACTAAAGAGCCTCTTGATGAAAGGGAAAGAGGAGAGTGAAAAAGTTGACTTAAAGTCCCACATTCAGAAAACAAAGATCATGGCATCTGGTCCCATTATTTCATGGCAAATAGATGGGCAAACAGTGGAAACAGTGTCAGACTTTATTTTTTTGGGCTCCAAAATCACTGCAGATAGTGACTGCAGCTATGAAATTAAAAGATGCTTGCTCCTTGGAAGAAAAGTTATGACCAACCTAGATAGCATATTAAAAAGTAGAGACATTACTTTGCCAACAAAGGTCTGTCTAGTCAAAGCTATGGTTTTTCCAGTAGTCATGTATGGATGTGAGATTTGGACTATTAAGAAAGCTGAGCACCGAAGAATTGATGCTTTTGAACTGTGGTGTTGGAGAAGACTCTTGAGAGTCCCTTGGAAAGCAAGCAGATCCAACCGGTCAATCCTAAAGGAGATCAGTTCTGAATATTCATTGGAAGGACTGATGCTGAAGCTGAAACTGAAACTCCAATACTTTGGCTACCTGATACAAAGAACCGAGTCATTGGAAAAGACCCTGATGCTGGGAAAGATTGAAGGCGGCAGGAGAAGGGGACAACAGAGGATGAGATGGTTGGATGGCTCAATGGACGTGAATTTGAGTAAACTCCGGGAGTTGGTGATGGACAGGGAGGCCTGGCATGCTGCAGTCCGTGGGGTTGCAAAGAGTTGGACATGACTGAGTGCCTGAACTGAACAGTAAAATGGTGCTAAAGGATGAGACCACAGGATAGGGAGAGATCCCAGGTCTCAGTGTGATGTAACTCCATTGTGTAGGAGTTGAAAAGTTGTAAAGAACTGGAAAAGACTGAAATAAGAAGCCAATAAGGTAGGATGAGAAAAAAGAATGAGTGTGTCCCAGGAGACAGTGAAGAAAGTGTTAAAAGGGAGGGACTGACTGATCAGTTGTGCTGAGTGTTACTGATAGAATGTGGAAAACATGCATTTTGCTAAGTTTAATTAGCAAATAGACTGAGTATGCAAAGGAGATACCTGCTGTAGTGATCAATGCAGAAACCATCTTTAAAGCTTTCTGGTGACCTCTGATTCTCCTTTTCCTGCAAAAGAAACCCTGTGTTCTGATGCCTCAAAGCTCCTTCTCTATTCTCAAAGACACCTTCAGATGATATCCACACTTCAACTGTTGCTGTCAATGTATTGCCTAGATGATGGAAGTTGGGAATTCTAACTTGCACTTTGAATGATATACTTTTGACTCACTAAAAGCTATATAACCTGTTATTGAAGCACAATATAACACATGTTCAACAGAATTGAACTATGAACCATGGTAACTGCTGGAGATGGTGTGGGAAGAGAAACAGTCTTGACTGTCAAGGAAGGCACAAATGGAGGAAGCCAAAATGATTTCTCAACACTGTGAGACATGTACTAGATACAAAAGGGAAGCACCTCCCTGGAGGAAGTTGGAAGATCAGTAAAATACACTACATATGGGAATTACATGATCACCATCTAGGGGAAGGATGCAATTGTGGCAGAGTCAATCAGAAGGTAGAATCAGTAGCCCCAGTGTTTGATGGGTTTAGGGGATCAGGGAGAGAAGTCTAGTCTAGTGGACTAGTTAAACACTGTTGTCATAGCATAACAGACTTGGGGGACTGAGAAGGAGAGCAGAAAATAACTTTGGTTTGTGACTCTGTTGAGTTTGAACTAGAAGATATCTAAGTAGAGGTGTTCAGTTGTCAGTTGGATGCAAGGTCTGGGACTCCAGAAAGGAGATGGGGTAGGTATAAACATCTGGGATCAATCAGACTATAGCAAGGTCAATTCCAATTGCACAGAAGAGTGTGTAGACTGAGAAGACAGGAGGGCAGAGGGTGGAATTCTGGAAAATTCTAACATTGAAGCCATGGCTAGAGAATTAGAAACTTACAAAGATGCTGTCAAATGCGCACAGAGACAGGAAGCAAAAGCAGGGGAAAGCAGTATCACAGCCATGAAGAGAAGAAATTTTAAGTGAAAGTCGCTCAGTCGTGTCCGACTCTTTGCGACACCATAGACTATACAGTCCATGGAATTCTCCTGGCCAGAATACGGGAGTGGGTTGCCATTTCCTTCTCCAATGCATAAAAGTGAAAAGTGAAAGTGAAGTCGCTCAGTCCTGTCTGACTCTTGGCGAGCCCATGGACTGCGGCCTACCAGGCCTCTCCATCCATGGGATTTTCCAGGCAAGAGTACTGGAGTGGGGTGCCATTGCCTTTTCCGTGTGAAGTCCTAACAAATGTTAATTCTCTCCTCTGATTTAAGCCATTTCACCTCAATTACAGACAGTTTGTCACGTTTTGTCTTTTTGGGAGTTACAAACTAATTTGAACTTGAAAGACTTCTGTGTAAACACAAGTGTTGCCGGTCAGGGCAGCACGTGCCTCTACAGCTAGACGTGTGTGCACAAAATTGAGTCCAAATCCAAACGCACTGCGGCCGTTTAATAGAGCAAGACCAAGAACGCAGTCTGAAGGTGTCACTGGGCCCAGCTCGAACTTTTGCCTAGGCTTGGACGAAGGCGATCAGAAACCAGGGCCAGGGCCGGGGCCCGCATTCCTGAGTGAATTGTTATTTATAGCCAAGGCTAGGAGACGCCAAAGCTAATAACAGCTGCGCTGTGACCTGGTGCCACCGCCATGCAAGCAGGTCTCACACCGCTCACCTTCACAGTCGGCGCCCGGGATCCCCCAGGCCTCCTGGCCCTGCACCCGCCTCGGGTTAGAGACCCAAAGTCCGGCGCAAAAGGCCACCATTGCGGCTGCGCCGCCGCACCACATGCTGAGCCAGCAGTTTCAAACTCCTCGCCACCTGCGAAAAGAACAGCCGCGCGGGTATCGCACGCAGGACGAAGTGGCGAGGAGCCTGGGATGCAATGAATCTACCCGGAGTTGCTAGGACAAATGACGCAACTCAACCGTGAGTTTCCATTGGCTCTCAAGGAAAGGGTATGGAAGGGTGGGACGAAGGAGCCTTTTCGTCCCCGCCCCACCCCAACCCTCCCCGACCTGCGCGTGCGCAATATAGCTCACGCCGTGCTGCCCCAGCGGGGCGGAGAGACACTCACTATAGCTAATCGCCGACAGCGCGACAGAAAAGGCGGGACCTTCACGCTGATTGGCGGCGAGGCGGGCGGCCTCGGCGAGGGCCGGGGCACAGTGGGTGGGCGGGAACGTGAAGTGTCCGCGGTGCTTGATGGGGCTGTGCCGCGGCCCGGCGCTGTTGCTGCTGGGAAGCCACCCGTTAGTGCTGCCGGCTTCTCTGCCGCCTCATGGCGGCCATCGGGGTTCACCTGGGCTGCACATCAGCTTGTGTGGCCGTCTATAAGGTGAGGGACTCGGGGAGCTGGGTGGCGGTGCAGCGTCCTCTGGGTACGAGGCCAAGTCCTTTGGTCTGCGCGGTTGTGAACGGCCTGTCGCCGGCCTAGGGACGTCGCACTGAGAGGCAATTCTGCGAGGAAGTCTCGGCGCTAAGGGCTGGGCGGACTCGGCCTTTTCCCCCGCGGCCCCTCAGAAAAGGCAGCTGCGGACCCAGCACATCCTGGGCTCAGGAGGACCCGAGCCCAGGGGCGGACCCAGGGACATTCTGGGCGCCGGAGACCCCAGGGGCCGAGGCGGACCCGGGAACGTTCAGGGCGCTGGAGGCCCCGGGGGGTTGGGGGGCAGACCCAGGGACACGCTGGGAACTGGAGTCCCCCCCGGGGGTGGGGACAGACCTGGCCACGTCCTGGGCGCTGGAGGCCTAGAGGAGGAAGGCGGACCTGGGGACCTCATGGACGCAGGAGGCCGGGAGGGGGACCCGAGCGTCTGGTACCCGGAGGTTTGTGGACGTTTGCCAAGAAGGAGCAGGGTGGCCGCGATCTGGACCTGGGCCTGTTAATCCCGAGAAGCTTGCGAAGCCAGTTAATGGTGTGTGCTCTATTCACTTGTCCTTTCTGGAAATGAGTGTGTGACTAGGAGTTTAGGGCTTCTCGTCTGTGGGGAGGCAGAAGGAACAATAATAAGGGACAGCCCTGATACTCGTCTCACGGTTAAACGTCAGATGATTTGTAGGGGAAAGCCGAAGAATTGTTGATAATTCATCATATGTAAAAAGAGGGAAGAAAGATGAGCGTTTACAGGGAAAAGGAAGAGAAATAGAAAGGTTAGTGTATTAAGACGTTATTTTATATAGAGAGGTTATTATTATGTCCCTTCTGTTATCAACTGTGCAGAAGACTGAAAAATGAGGCAGCTGGTTGTAGAATTCTGGTCTTATTAAGATCTAGGAAATACAGTAAAGCAGTTTTTGTTTCCACATATATGTCAGTTACAGGACCCCACATATGTCTGAATGTATCTAAGGAGACTATATATTTCATTTCAAAAGAACTAATACAGTTGTGTATTTACCTCCAGGATGGCCGGGCTGATGTGGTCGCAAATGATGCAGGCGACAGAGTTACTCCAGCTATTGTTGCTTACTCAAAAAACGAAGAGGTACTATTCTCCTCATTTTTATACATTGAAATAAGTATAAAATGACATGCGTTGTAATAGATTGCTCTTTTTCAGATCGTTGGATTGGCAGCAAAACAAAGTAGAATAAGGAATATTTCAAACACAGTAATGAAAGTCAAGCAGATCCTTGGCAGAAGGTATGGAGTAAAATAATACTTTCACCTATGGTAACAAAAAACATGTTTATAATTTGAATGTAAGCATCATTTGAAATGAAACTAGAAACACCAGTGTGTTTTTCATTGTTTTTATGACTGAGTCATTTCACAGAATTCCCCAGTAGGCTATCTTTTTATATTAGTGCTGAATTTTCTGAAAGATGGGATTCACGGAGACATTTGCTTCTCACTTACAGGTCTGTTAGTATTGGTAGATGCCAGTGTGCATTTAGTTTTGATAATTTGTCATTCAGAGGTGGCAGTTTGAACTTAGCACATTTTTACAGTACTCTTTTTAAACTGGGAGATTGTGTGAGAATTAAAAGATTTCTTTGCATCATAGTTGAATTTTGTGAAGTCTATTGTAATTGGTGAATATTTATGTAGAAGCTATTGATTTTCTTCTTCAGATCTCTTTGTGACACTTTCTGGGAACTAGCTTTTCCAGTTGGCTTACACATTTAATCATTAGGGAAAACAGCTTAATTAATGTCTTAAGAATCAGGTTAATCATCTGCTATAACTTTAATTAAAAGATTAAAGAGGCCTGCTTCCCCAGACTTCTGTCTCCTCAAATTATAGATTTCCCTGATAATTAGGGATTTTCATTGGAGTTATAATACTTGATATAGTGTTTTTAAATTTTCAAAGTGCTTTCACATCTATTGTTTAATCCACTGAAATCCCTGTAAGATTGGTAGGGCAGATTTTATACCTCCTCATTTCTGGATAAGAAAATCAAAGCACGCAGAAGTTAAGGTATCCCTAAATTAGTTTAGGGGGGTGAGCTCTACAGGACTGTGGTCCAGGATGCCTAACTCTTAATCTCAGGTTCTTTCCTTTCTACCTTATTCAGGTGAGAATTTAAGTAGAAATTTCCTTGTGTTGTTTTAGGTTTGGGGAGTCATGTATTAAATTTGATATATATATAAATATATATTTTATACATACAGATTCTATCTCTTACCTATATTTAGGTAAGTTGAACTTGATGCTCATTTTTTTTCTTTAGAATATCTGTGATTAAGTCAAAAACTATAGTGTTTTGGAGAGAATTCAAATTGTTGTGAAGATACATATATTCCCATATCCATTTATCTGTTGACTAAACTTAGTACTGAGCATATTGAAAATAAATTGAGTTGCTGTCAAAATTTTTCAAATTATAAACTGAAAAAAAAAGGCAGGAAGTAAGCAACCAATAATATATTTTTTAATTGAACTTTTTTTGAGATAATGGTAGATTTACATATTGTTGCAAGAAATAACACAGAGATCCAGTCTATTTCTGGATTTACCATTTTCTCCCACTGGTAACATCTTGAAAAACTATGCTATGCTATCACAACCAGGGTACTGACATTGACATGGTCAAAATCCAGAATAGTTCCATAGGTGCCTCTCTTTGGGAGCCCTTTTTGAGTTTTGTCGATATTTGGGGGCAGGTGGTGGAAATTCAGATGTGGATGTCTTCTGCCATATTAGGCAAAAAGCTTTGTATTAGTGAGAACAACTTTAGCTTGCTTTTCTGGCCTGAAAGTTACCTTTTAATAAAGGAATGCAGTGGTGACAGTCAGATGGGTAGTACATAGCATAGCGTGCCACCCAGGGCGAGGTTAGGGAGGAATGAGCCCCAGCAGACACTATTGCTGCACCATGGTCCTGCTAGCCCTTCTCCAGAGTGATGTGCCTCGGGGTCCAGGCATCCCCGCCCCCGTTGATCTATCTACTTACAAAACAATGGTGATTTTTACAGATACACGGTGGTTCCAGGTCTCAGCCTTGGAAGCATCCTGCCTTTTGTGGAGAAGCCAGTCCCCTTGTTGCCAAGTCAGTAAGGCCCTTTGTAGCCCTTGGTCCAGTCCCCATCCTGAGCGAACTCCCAGAGTTGGGCTTTTCTCAGCCCTGGCATCCTTTCTCTTTGCAACCTACTTACAGGTAGCACCGCTTAACTTACTGCCACAATTATCCTTACACCGTTCCTGTAACTTTCATTCCCCTGTGGCCTTCCAGCCAGAAATGCGGTCCTCGGACCTGGCTTCTCAGGAATTAGCCCAGAGAGGGAAGAAGCGGCTGGCTCCTGGAGATAGACTGGAGCACACAGAAACTCCTCACACCTTCAGGTCGGCACCCTCCTGCCTAGGAGCCTCCTCCAGCTAGCCTTTCTTCCCCGTCCGCCATGGCCACTTCCAATAGCAGTGCGGGCATCCGGTGGTCCAGACAGGAGACACGGACGCTTCTCTCCATACTAGGCGAGGCAGAGTACATTCAGCGCCTGCAGACCGTGCATCACAACGCAGATGTCTATCAGGCTGTGTCCAAGCGGATGCAGCAGGAAGGCTTCCGCCGCACCGAGCGTCAGTGCCGCTCCAAGTTCAAAGTCCTGAAGGCGTTATATTTAAAGGCCTATGTGGCCCACGCCACAAGTATGGGCGACCCACCACACTGTCCCTTTTATGATACGTTGGATCAACTTCTCCGAAATCAGATAGTGACTGATGCAGACAACTTAATGGAGGACGCTGCTTGGGCCAAGCACAGTGACCTGAATTTAGCAGCCCCTGACACCCCAGGGGAGGAGGGGACCAGCATTCTGGGAGCAAAAAGGACTCAGGCAGCAGAGCATCAGTCTATTTTGAAAACAGTGAAGGAATCAGATGATTGTCAGCTGAGGGTCAGTGACCAGATGCCAGAAACCAGTGACCTCGAGGACTCCTGGGATGAATCCTCGGGTGCAGGTAACCCCCAAGCGTGTGAAGGGTCGGGGTCCCAGAGTCACTTGGTTCTCATCAGTGTGTGTTTGGATGGCGACCTCTTCAGCGTAGTCGCTATTTCAGCCCCTCGCCTCTCTTTTAAACCTAGTGGTGAGAGAAGGGGCTCCAGATTTTTAAAAGCTATAACCCTAGGTATGTATGATATTAGAACTCTTTTAAACCTCAAAGTATTCTTTAGAACCAAACTAGTTTGGGCATTATTTATAATGGGGACTTAGGAACTTGTGGCTGTAGAAAGGGTTGGATAGCTCAATGGAAGGCAGAGGGGGAAGTTTTGGACATACTATTGTAGCAGACCAAAATATCCGCATGAGAAAATGAATTCTTCCCCACCCACTGCAGAGAGATGCGTTGGTTTTGTCCTTGTCTCTCAACTCTGCAGCTGGCTCCAAGCATTCCCATAGCAGGAATGTCCTCTCTGCAACATTGTTGCTTTGTTTTTCAGGGTGCTCTCAAGGGACCCCCAGCTACAGCAGCTCCCATCACCTTTTCAGAGGTGCAGCTGCCCCCTGTCAGAGCATCCCCATGACCAGACTGACTGTGTCCGGTGAGCCCAGCCCCTGCTCCAGCTCCAGCCGAAACACTCACGGGGTGGCCTCCGCACGGCGGCCTCCAGCCTCCTCCTCCAGGGCTCCTTTTGTCTCTGGTGGGGATAGACCTTTGACCACTGAGCCCCCTCCCAGGTGGGCCCGGCGAAGAAGGCGGTCAGTGGCCAGGACTATTGCAGCTGAACTGGCAGAAAACAGGAGGTTGGCACGAGAACTTTCAAAGCGGGAGCAAGAAAAACTGGATCGGCTGATTGCCATTGGTGAGGAGGCCAGCGCTCAGCAGGACACTGCCAACGAGCTCCGCAGGGATGCGGTGGTCGCAGTCAGACGGTTGGCCACGGCAGTGGAAGAGGCAACCGGGGCTTTCCAGCTAGGACTTGAAAAGTTGCTTCAGAGGTTAATTTCAAACACCAAAAGTTAGGAGATGATCATGCAAGGGTGTATTTCCTACACTGGCAGAGCCTGGGTCCAACCAATGCCTCCTGATATCCTGGCTCCTTTTCTGTGTCCTCAGGCAAAAAAGAGTGGATGGACAGTTAATGTGTGGAATGGTAGGAACATATGTGCTAGTGACTGCTCCCAGGTGTCTCCACTAGTTGAAAGACCCTTTAGAAATGCAAGGGGTGGCCCAGTAGAAAAATGATGCAGCCAAGTCCACAGAGCTAGCTAGCCCTGGCTTCATCATTGATGGGAGATGCTTTAGTTTACCTCTCTATACCAGCTTCCTCAGCTGCTAAACCTGCCTACCTCACAGGGTTGTTGTGAGGATCAGATGGCTGAAATAGATGTGAAAGGGTTTAAAAGCACTATACACATGTAAGTTATTAAAGCATATGACCTTGGCTGAGAGAAGGCTGGGGTGAGGCACAGTAGTTGACAAGATACAGAATTAGGGTTGTACACCGTGACCTCGTTGCTTAAATCTGCTAGTGTAACCTGACTGCTTCCTGGAGTTTACAGTCTTCATTTCTTAAAACCTCTCTAGTTCATTAGGCTAATGTAGACACAACATGTATTGGTCCTTTTTTATATTTGCTGTGTCTGTGACATAACTACTAGCAAGCGCTTAATAGTCAAACCATCTTTCCCTCCATTTTACTTGTCCTTAGTCTCTTATCTCTATGGATATGATTCAGAACTGATAGGAAGCCACAGTTGTGCATTTTGGTTCATGTTGATAATCTTTGATACAATTAGAAATTGGCTGTCTTATAAAATACTCCCTATAAGTAAATTCTTTGCATTCCATGTTTAGGTTTTTTTATATTCATAATTATATATCTTTAGGTTTGGTTTGTCATTTGGACATCATGGAAACAATTTGGATTATATAAGCTTCCCAAATACTTGTAGCTAATTTTGTTCTTCTCTGTGTCTTTGTTTTCTGTCTAGTATGTTGCAGAAAGCAAGCCTGAGAAAATGTTTCTTCTAGGAAACTCTCTAAAGTCACTTTTTCTCACAGGTGTTGACAAAAGTTCACCTTGTTAATGGCGTATATTAGAAGAGAATAGCTTTGGGAACAATTGAACATGGTATGAATAAGGACAGCTTGCAACAGATAGCTCTTTTTAAAGCACCAGCCCTTCACAGATACATCCCCTTTTCTCTCTGAAACACACAAATTTCCTAGAGGAGATAAGATGGTATCGAGCCAGGCTTCCAAATTACTTTAGAAGGGAAGCCATAACTGACCATCATTAACCTGACTTAAAGTTCTTAGCAGTTATTTGGGCTTCCCAGGTGGCTCAGTAGTAAAGAACCTACCTGCTGATGCAGGAGACGTGAGTTATTTCAGGAAATATAAAAAGCAGACTTGGAATTTAAAAAGCTTTCCTATAATCTAGTGGTGATGGTGGTGGTTTAGTCTCTTGACTTGTGTCTGACTCGTGATCCCATGGTCTGTAGCCCGCCAGGGTCCTCTTTCCATGGGATTATCCAGGCAAGAATACTGGAGTAGATTGCCATTCCTTCTCCAATGATCTTCCTGATCCAGGAATCAAATCTGTGTCTCCTGCATTGCAGGCAGATTCTTTATCGCTGGAACCACCAGGGAAGCCCTCCTGTAATCTAGAGACTGAAATAAAAAGTGCAGGCCTGTTGGGAGAGGTTTTATTTTATATTTTGCAGCTCGATTGCTTACCTAAATGCTGGAAATACCATTAGGTGGAGAAATGGTCCAAACCACAGTGGGAACATCCCTGTAACCAGGAACAGATGGCAGGCAGGCAAGCTGCTCTGGTGAACGAGTGATTATGGAGGAGGTGTGAGGTAGACTACACTGGAATCAAGTTATAACTCCTGGGTTCTGATGCTGTCATGCTTTGTTACATTGAGCAAATCACTTGTCTTTTTTTGTGCCTCAGTTTCTTTATCTCTAAAGAGAGGTTTGTACCAGATGGCTTTTCTCGTACCTTCCAGAAAATTAGACGAATAGCATAACAGAAGACAAAGTGAAATTTTGATTGTTGTGTTTTCAGTCACAGCAGCATATTAATGTATGTTTGAAATACTACTAACAGTTGTATTTTAAGGAAAGATTCTACACTATTGATATTTATGACTTCTTATGGACTTCTATTAACTCCACACCCAGACAGATTCCTTGCTTTTAAAAGGCCTGGAAATGGAGATTTTTTTTTTTTTTCTGTGTTGTTTTAGGCCCTTATATAGAGGGATCCATTTCAGTTACAACTGAATAACACTACTGTAGATAGTTAGATTTTCTGAAAAATTAAGGAAGTACTTGAAAGAGTTAGGCCCGTACTCTATTAATCACTTAATGGTAGCAAAGTATCAGGCAGGGATTTACTGGAGATTAGAAGAGTGCTAAAGCATGGAGGCCAGGTTGAACTTTGGAGGCGGTAGTGTGCAGAAGTGGCGGGTGAAGTGACTTGAAGGTGGGAATACAACTAAAGGGAAAGATCTTATAGAAGTTAACAGGAAAACAGGCCCAGAAATCCTGCCTGAGCTCTAGGCCCAGCCGGAACTCCCCATCCGTCCACAATCTGGTCACTTCACCATTCTGTACCTCAGGCCCCTCTCCTCTGCAGTGGGAGGCCATCCCAGCTACCTCACAGGAGCTGCATGAGGACCCAGTGGACAGATGGCTGTAACAGGCTCTGTGCTGGGCGGGGAGGGGGAACAAGCCCAGTAGCATGTCAGTGTGGGGCGAGGATCTGCCTCTTGCAAGGGGCCCTTCAAGAAAGGGGAGGATGAAGGCCAGGGTACCCTGGTAGGAGTGATGCTGTGCCTCCTGAAGCCTGCAAAGTAAATGGTGCTGTGTATACCAGCCTCCCACCACCTTCTGTCTCTCTGTGAAGTGACTTGATCCTGGTGTGGACAAATAAAGTTGCTATCTGTACACAGCTGTGGGTCAGTCCACTACTTTCTGGTGCTACTGTGAACATTTGTCCATTATCTCCATTTTCTGCTTTCTGCTTCTCCACTGGCTAACCTCCAGGACCTTACCTCTCTGAGACCTTCAGAGCTACATGTGCTTTCTGTCCTCAAGTGAACGAGGTCCTCAGTTGGGAATTTTCCATTTCTAAAAGTTCTTTAAATCCCATTAATCCTATCAGGTCCAAAACAGCCATTTCTAAGAGTTCATTAAATTCCATTTAAAGCCATTAACATATCCTTTTCTGGCAGATTATCTGAGTGATGGATAACATACTCAGAGAAATCATCCTGGTTGACTTAAATTCTGTTCTAAAGGCAACAGAACCATTACATGTCAGGCCAACATTACAGCATTGATGGGGAAAAAAGTTACTATAGGCACACTTAGTGTTTTTTTTTCTTATCCTTAAAATATTTGTCCAGGATATGGTATAAATACTGGGTTTAGAAAAGAGGGGAGGAGTTAGTGGAAAGAATACTAAACTTTATATGAAAGATCTGGATTCCAGCCAGTTGTGGTATTAGCCATGTAACGTCAGACAGACTGTTTACCTGTGATAGTGGAGGTGATAGGAGGAATTTACAAGTATTGCCAAGAAAGTTCTAAACCAAATTAATCCCATTTTAAGCCCCTTTCATTTCCCCCTTGTTCACACAGATTAGGGTTATGTGGAATTAATTAATTAATTAATTAATCCCATTTTAAGCCCCTTTCATTTCCCCCTTGTTCACACAAGAAGGGTTATGTGGAAGGATTGACCTCATCTTCATTTCTAGATGAAATTAGGCCAAGAATCAGACTTTTATCCCTGCTTACGGCAAAAGTACCTTAGTTGTTCACTGTCTTCACTGCAAGGCAGTCTACCTAGCCTGGTAGAGAAGACCCGGGATCAAGTACTGACTCTTCCCCTTGTCAGCTTGTAAGTTGTTGACTGTCTATATTACTCCTGAATACTACTTTCCACACTAACCCCCTCTTAAATGCTGGGAAGATTCAGTGGAAACATTTTGTAGTCTGCACTAGTCTGCATTAATTCGTATTACTATTTTCAGCAACGTAACACCCATTGTCTTAGTTTTTTTCCTTGCCATACACATTTGTTGAGTACTTTGTATAGGACAGTATCTATCTCCTTGTATTACTCTGTACTTTTACATATAATAATATTCATACTTTTGATCAGTGCTTTCAGGTTTCAGCCATTGATTCATGTTCAGAAACCAAGCAACAAAGATGGTATTAGGTATTCTGGTTTGAGGTTTTACCTCCTTTTGTCCTTTCTAATCTCAGTGGTTTGGCTCTGAGATATGATCAAAGATATGAAACTATGGGACTTAAAGTAATTGATACTATGAAAATATTCTCAAATGTATAAATCTATTGATAGTAAGATCAGAACAAGTAAGAGCTATTTACTTTCAAATGTGAAGATGAACGCTTTCATGGAATTACTGTAATTATATTTTTATACTTGTTGGTTTGAAGAATATAATCTTTAAAACTTACATGTCAATGATGATGATATAAATATTTATATTTGTCTCTGTGGACAGCTCTGATGATCCTCAGGCTCGGAAATATATCACGGAAAGTAAATGTTTAGTGAGTATGCTTCTATTATTACTTCCCTGTTACACAAAGTAATTGCCAAGGTCATGACCAATTATATTGATTTGAAACTTTGTATTTTGTTAAAATCATTTCTTATTTTAACACACTTCTTTCACAGGTCATTGAAAAAAATGGGAAGTTACGATATGAAATAGATACTGGAGAAGAAAAGAAATTTGTCAGCCCAGAAGATGTTGCCAGACTGATATTTAGTAAAATGAAAGGTATTGAGCACAGGAAAAGATCTTTTCAAAGGTTGACCTTTTAAAAAAGCTCGAGGTGTTTTTTGATCTGGAGCGAATCAGGATGATTGAACAAACTGTGCAGTGAGGAGGCCTAAATTATGCTAGACCTGACTGGCCTGCTAACTGGCCATGTGACCTTGATTAGATGACTTCTTTTCCTTGACTGTGGTTTCCCCAGAAGAAATGTAAATGGATGGGGCCAGATCAGTGTTTTCAAAACTTCTGAAGATGAAGTGGCCCAGTAAGCTGGTGAAAAGTGAATTATTATATCTCCCTCAAGATAGTACAATCTCCACAGTGTTTAGGCAGATTAGATAGGTCTGGCTTTAGCACTTCAGGCAAAGGCTTGGAGCTGAGCAACCTCCTGTGGGACAACTTGAGGACTTCTGGAATAGATTGTTGATGGGGCTTACTTCAGCTCTGGAATCTGTGATGAAAGTAATGGATGGAGGGCAGCCTTTCATGGTAGTTGGTCTGCACCTTTGTGCATCAGAAACCCATTCTCAGTGGAGCCCATCTCATTTGGGAGGTGGTTGAAACTTGGAAGCCTCAGAGCCACGTGCATTAGAAAGTACCTAGTCACATGTCCACAAACTGTACCAAAACCATAGAAAATAGTGCACAGTTTAAGAGAGCAAGAGAAGAAGATCAGTGGGGTGGGACAGCCTCAAATTGGAAAATCTTTAAAATAAAAAGATTTTTGGCATAAATTAATAAACCTCAGTATCACTTGACATTTTTGTGTATTGTCAGAATTTATGCTTTTCTTCCAGTTTTATTGAGATATAATTGACATACAGCACTATATAACTAAGGGGTATAGTGTAATGATTTGACTTATGTATGTCATGACATGATTACCACATTAAGTTTCATGAACTTTAAAAATTTTTTTTCACACACAGAAACGGCACATTCTGTCTTGGGCTCAGATGCCAATGATGTAGTCATTACTGTTCCATTTGATTTTGGAGAAAAGCAAAAAAGTGCTCTTGGGTAAGTATAATATGAAGTTTCTCTTGCTTAAAGGAAATACAAATTTCACAACATTGCTATATAGTAAAAGGTAAAATTGTATGTGAAAATACCTTACACAAAATGTTGTGTTTGTAAATCATGTATATATTTATATATGTAAATCCTGTGGTAAAAGTGTGGTAATAATCATTAATATTTCCTATATTTTATGAAGTGTCAAAAGAACCTGAAACTGCATGTATTAATATCTTCCTTGCTATTTTGATTGGAAACATTTGATGACCAGATTAACTTGATGATTGTGAATCACTTTGCCTTAGTGTATTGTAATTAAGGCTTATGTGGGAATTGTATAAAAATAAGCAATTTTAGAAAATATTTGAGTTTTTTTTTAACCTAGATAAACATCTAAACAAATTGTATCTGGTTTTCTTAGGTTGTTAGGCAAATGTAATTGGCAAGCACCCAGTCTTTTACTCTGTGGCTAGAGTTCCCTGTAGGGCTTTGCTGAACATCTGAGTTGCTTCTGGGGCACAGAGTTGCTTTGTTTACTTGTACTTGTGGAATGTTAAAGCTGTGAACCTAAATTAAAGAAATTGGAAATGTATTATAAATGTATTATAAATATGTATTGTATTAACTCTAAAATGAATTATAAATAAGTCCTAGTCTCTTTGTGAAATTTGTAAGCTCAAGAGTTTGGAGAGCTTTCTTTTCCTTAATATAGGCACATGTTATCTTCTTTGTCAAGAAAATAGACTCTGAACATTATTATTTTAAAGAGAAATTGATCTCTATACTTAAAGACTTAGGTCTGTTTCTTGTGTTCTGTTATCTTGCTTCTAAAAGATCATTACCCTTCATGTTCTGCTTGTGAAATCTTATTTGCTATTGCATAAAATCTTCAGCAGAGCATTTCTAAAAATGTAGACTTGAACATGTGATACCAAATTTATTAAAAGCACATTGTCCACAGGGAAGCAGCCCGAGCTGCTGGGTTTAATGTTTTGCGGTTAATCCACGAACCATCTGCAGCTCTTTTGGCTTACGGAATTGGGCAAGACTCCCCCACTGGAAAAAGGTAAAAACCATATTTTCAGCTTTAAGTTTTTCAGTGCAGAAGACATTTTAGATGATAGCATTTATTTCAATAGAGATTGTTATATAGTGCAGTCATTCCAAGCTTTTATAGATGGAAAGACATCAAAATTCTCACCTAGAGTTTTTCAAATAGATGAGAAAGGTGTCCTAGAAAGCAGAGAACAAATATAACAGGAGGGAAGGTTGCGCCCTTCTGCCCTTCTCTTATCATCTAACACTTTGTCCCTTTAGTGAAGGAAGATTTGCAGTTTATAAGCCAGCCAAGTTACAACTGAAGCTCTAGGACACTGTTAAGTTTACTACCAATTCGAATATTAAACATGCTTAGAAAAACAGTGTGGACTTTCATGTACATCTGTCTTGGCAGGAGATAACAGAAAAGCCAGCATGGGAATTTAAGATTTCATTTGATAATGAGATAGTAAGATGTACTCCTAATTTAATTATAAAGTGAAATGAAGTCACTCAGTCATGTCCAACTCTTTGTGACCCCATGGACTGTAACCCACCAGACTCCTCTGTCCATGGGATTCTCCAGGCAAGAATACTGGAGTGGGTTGCCATTTCCTTCTCCAGAGGATCTTCCCAACCCAGGGATCGAACCCAGGGCTCCCGCATTGTAGGCAGACGCTTTAACCTCTGAGCCACCAGGGAAGCCAATTTAATTATAAGACTGGTCCTAATAGATCTGACACATTATGCAACTTTAGGGATGTCAATTCAGATGTGTTAATTTTCCCTAATTGTATCTTTTCATTCATATCTCACAATTAAAGAAACTAATATCACTAGGAATTTAAGTAATCTAAAATGCAGAATATCAGAAATTTTGGGTTTTGATTCCTAGGAAATTAATGCCTAGTTTTGCATATGTTTTAACTTTTGTGGAACATGGGTATTGCAGTAATAACTAAGACAGTATTAACAAAGTTTCTATATTTAATGCTCTTAGAGTTACTTTAATTGCAAATCTCTTTTTTTATTTACTTTGAAAAGTTAGTATCTTACACTCCAGTTAGTGAGAAAGAATACAATTTTACCAGCAGGATTAAATAAAAATGAGCTTTGACTTAAAATCAGAAGATCTGGTTTCTAGGCTTGATTCATTCCTAAGCAATAACCATGGACAATTCAGTTTTTCCCATAAGAGCTTCAGTTTCCTCATTTGTGATTTACAGGAGTTAAACTAAATGACTTCTTAGTTTAAGAAATCAAAATTGGCTTTACAATACTATGATTCTCTCATAACTTACTTGTGTTTTTGTTTTTTTTTTAAGCAATATTTTGGTATTCAAACTTGGAGGAACATCCTTATCTATCAGTGTCATGGAAGTTAACAGTGGAATATACCGTGTTCTCTCAACAAACACTGATAATAACATTGGAGGTACCCACTTCACAGAAACCTTAGCACAGTACCTAGCCTCTGAGTTTCAGAGGTGAGTATTAATGGACTTGATATGTTTGATGATAAACCTGAAATTTAGCTTCAGGTTTAATTTTTTTCCCCCAATTTATTTGAAATTGTCCTTTCAAAGGAAGGCATGGTTTTTCCAGGATATTTTCATGTCTGAAATTATAAAATCTGTCCTGGTAAACAGGGGAAAGCAGAGGCCCAGCTGCCTAGTGTAGTATACTTAGAGTTTTCACTCAGTGTAAGGAGCCACCAGACACTGAACTGCGTGAACTTGGATCTCAAGTTCAACTTCCTAATTTGTCAGTGGTTGCTTTTATGTTTGGGTGAAGGAGGGGAAAGGCAGTAAGGCCTCACTACCTTCTGAACAGTTTTTATAGGTATAAAAGATTATGTTGTAGTTAGATTCCAGTGAACCAGTCTTATGGGATATCTATTACCACAAGGACTATTTTAGTTTTGTTGCTGGATGTAATTATTCCATTCAAAATTCTAATCCTGTTTGTCACATCATGAGTCAAATATATAAAGGTTATATTTGGGACATCACTACTCTAAAAAGTAGGGTTTTCATCAGTTTGACTACACTGGGTTAAAAAAAAGTCCTGAAAAAGTGGTAATTTCTCATTTGTTCAATAAAGACTTATGTTGCTTTTTGTCATAAAGGTGTTCCAACTCAAGGAAAGTGAAAGTCACTCAGTCATGTCTGAGTCTTTGTGACCCCATGGATTATACAGTCCATGGAATTATCCAGGCCAAAATACTGGAGTGGGTAGCCTTTCCGTTCTCCAGGAAATCTTCCCAACCCAGGGATCAAACCCAAGTCTCCCTCATTGCAGGTGGATTCTTTACCAGCTGAGCCACAAAGGAAGCCCCTCCAACTCAAGAAAGAACACTTATTAATTTTATTATGGGTTTTAAACATGTTTAAAAACAGATCCATCAGTCACCACTTAGCAAGCAATTTTAACAGTTAACTCAACTTGGAGGTAGAAGAACTATAATTTTACATATTTTATATGTTTCAAATTTCTTTGAAGAAGCACTTTTAGTTTTTTTTTTTTTTAAATGCTGGACAGATAATTCTATGCCATTCAACAAGAATCATGTTAATGGTTGTAAAGGGTGAGGTATGAGACTTGACCCAGTTGCATGAATCTCCTTCCGTGTCCTTTTGTCTCATCTGCAAAAAGATGACGGCTCTTGTACTTCTTCACTGCAGTCCATAACTGTGGTTAAACAATCCAGCAATTCAGAGTCTTAAGGATATTGGTTATTTATTTTTCCTGAGACCCCTCTTCAAATTCTCTTTCCCCAGATATTCTGAAAAAATAAAATCTGGTATTAATATTGATTCTTGAGCTTAATTTATTTTTTTACTGGCCTTGTTGCACAGCATCCAGGATCTTCCCGACCAGGGATGGAACCTGCATCCACTGCAGTGGAAGCACAGAGTCTTAACCACTGGACGCCAAGGAAGTCCCTGATTCATGAGCTTACAGTTATCCTAATGGGGATTATCCAGGTTTTAATTACAATAAATTCTAAATGACCTAGTAATTTTTAAACTTCAAAGACTGTATTTCTTATTTAGATCCTTCAGACATGATGTGAGAGGAAATGCCCGCGCCATGATGAAGCTGATGAACGGTGCTGACACTGCAAAACATTCTTTGTCAACCTTGGGAAGCGCCAATTGCTTCCTTGACTCATTGTATGAAGGTCAGGATTTTGATTGCAACGTGTCCAGGTAAAACTGCAGTTCGAAAAACTTCAAGAAGTTCCAAATGTATTCACATTTAGGTGTAATTTTCTCACTTCAGGGTTTTCATTTTCTCATTTGAGATGTTTAGCTCACTATAAAAGGAGAGTTTTTCTGTCTTTACTTCCAGGGTTTTCAGCTCTTGTCAGACTAAATGACTGTTTACAAAAAACAATCATGTCAGTGGTGACTGCCCTGTTATGTTATACCTACCAGGAGCAGTGTGTGACAGGAGCATCCCGGGACTTTGAAAGAATGATGAAAGGAGACTTGAAAGCTTGAGATTTGTAAATTTCCTTTCTTGACTAGCAGTCCCACCTGTATAGTCCCTAGTTATTTGTGGAGCTTCCACATGCATTAGTGGTTGTTTACTATTTCATCGTTACTCATGTGTGGCAGGCTGTATTCTAAATTCTTTCTTATGTATTAACTCTCAAATTCTCATAACAACCCAATGAGGTAAGTGCTGTTGTTTTCCTTACTTTTCCCAGGAGGTTTCATTTCTTGTCCAAGGTTATTCAGCTAGTAAGGGACAGACCTGGGATGCAAACCCAGCTAGTTTGATTCCCGAGTTCGTGCTCATCACCTGTCACCTTACTCTGAGGATTAATCTCTGTCTTGGTTTTATTTGCTTTGTCATCCATTGGCAACATTTTAAATTTTAATAGCTTTTGTGACATTTAGTAAACACAAGTTTAATGTGCATAAAATTGTTTTTAATGCTTATATCTTTTCCATAATCCAAAACATTGGTTACAAATGATTGCACCTCTACCCAGGAATGGATGGGGGAGACCATTGTCCTCTCGCTGTGTGTTGTGTATTACTCACAATACTAGTAGCTACCATGAGTTAGCACTATTTAAACTTCCCAACAAGCTAACAGGTGACTTGGAAGCATAGTGAATATCCAGAATACAGTAATACATTATTTTTAGGCTTTCTACTCACTCTGTTTGGTTAAATTCTCTCTTTTCTGGCCCTTGTAGCTTGCTCCCTCTGTCTCCTTGGGTTTTCCTCCATTCCAGGTCAGCACTGCCACCAGTGGCTATTTAAAATTTTTAGTTAGTTAAATAGGTAAATAACATTAAAAATTTGGTTCTTCTGTAGCATTAGCCAGAGTTAAGTGCTCAGTAGTCTCAAGTGGCCAGTGGCTCCAGGAAGTTCTCTAGATATGTTAAGAGATTTCAGGCTACAACCTAAAAGAAAGTTGTTCCATTGAATTTTAATCTCTGGTGGGCAAGAGAGTCTTTATATTTTTTCTCTTTCCAGAATATTTAAATTAGTGCTAAGTTTGTCCAAGTACTCAGTAAATGTTTGCTTATTTGTATCAGTTATTAAGAAGGAAATAGAATTTGTTATTTTATTTGCTAATATTCAGGCTTCTCAGGGGGTGCAAAATAACCAAACTTAAATGTAGCAGAGGCTCAGACCATAAAGAAAAGTAGTGAGAAACACTTTTTAAAACGTTAAAACATAAAAATAGCAAAAAATTTCCAAATTATGGTTTGATTTGAATCAATAGATTTGTTGGTAGAAATGCCATACACTGAGAATTTATATTTAGGTTTTTTGACAGCTTATAAGCAGGCTATGGGTATGATAATTTTTCTATGTGAATTTAATATTATATACATTTGTAGATGAATAACCTAGACTTTTTCCTCCCATGATATTGCTCTGCTGAGTGTTTAATATCCTGTTCTGATCATAAACCTATTCTTAAGAGATTTATCACAGTAAGTTTTGACATTACCCTTTACAAGAAAAAGATGTCGTGTTTAACTTATTTCTGCTGTCTCTTCTGTGTTTATGTGTTTTTACAGAGCAAGATTTGAGCTTCTGTGTTCTCCACTTTTTAATAAATGTATAGAAGCAATCAGAGAAGTCTTAGAACAAAGTGGATTTACAGCAGATGATATCAACAAGGTAATAACTTTTGTATTTTTCCTATTTATGTTAGGAATAGTTTTCGACTGGAAATTTAGGAAATGGCCCCTTGCTATTGAAAGAGTATTTTTATATCTGTAAATATTTTCTTGCCTTACATTAGGAAATAAGAAAATTGATAAAATTTTGATTAATGGCTCTAATGAACTCACAGTTCTGTATGTTTATTAGCAAAAAAGATTAAAGTTCCTTTTCAGTGTATTTTTGGTATATAAGCAAAAACTGACAAATATTAGAATGTTTCTTAGGTGTCAGGCACTGTTTCTGAGTGTTTTACATGGAATAACTTGCTGTATCTTAACCAGGAACTCTATGAAGTAGGTGATATTATTTACCTCCATTTTATAATTGGAGGCACAGAGATATAAGTCGCTTCATGGAGATCATGTGGCCAGTGGTAGAACCAGGATTTAGCTCAGTATGGTTCCCAATTCTGCTTTTAAGCAGTACAACAGTCTCCTTCTCTCTGCTTACTGAGAAATATTGCATATTTGCTTGCATAAGAAAAGATTTAGAGATTTTCAAAAATATTCCAGCTGGTTTGTAGTTTTTTTCCCCAAGATTATTTCTACTCTTTTACAATGTATATACATTTTTTCATTGTTGTTGATAAAGGAATTTTCATATAAGAAAATTCAGAGACCAGTGTCTTACTTTATAATAAACTTGTCAAATTTGTTGCACAATTTGAATTTTATGTTCCTTATATAATATTATAACCAATTTCTTTGTTCATATTACTATATAGCCTTCATCAACACAATTTTAAGTAGACTCTTGGACTTCCCCAGTGGCTCAGTGGTAAAGAATTTGCCTGCCAAATCAGGAGACATGGGTTCAATCCCTGGTCCTGGAGGATCCCACCTGCCACTACACAAGTAAACCTGTGCACCACGACTGCTGAGCCTGTGCTCTGGAGCCCTGGGATCACGGCTGTGTAGCCAGTGCACCCTGGCGCCTGTGCTCCACAGCAGAGGCCTCACCTGTGCACCGCATGTAGAGAGCAGCCCCGCTCTCCGCAGCTAGAGGAGAGTGCATGCAGCAGCAAAGACGCATTTAAGAAATAATTTTAAATAGGCTCGTAATACCCTCGAAAAGGAAGAGCACCATAGATTATTTCATTGTTCTTTTGAACTCCTCCCCAGAAAAGTGATGCCTATCTCTTCCTATGTTTAAGATTATTCTTCGGGATAGGTTTCTATAATAAAAATAGTGAGTCAAAGAATATAAATAGCAGAAGTCTATTTTTACCTTCAGTTACTTTTCAGAAGAGCTGAATTAACTCATACTTTCATCAGCAGTGTATAAGAACAGACATTTTATTTTTTTTCTTCATTTATTTTTATTAGTTGGAGGCTAATTACTTTACATCATTGCAGTGGGTTTTGTCATACATTGAAATGAATTAGCCATGGATTTACATATATTCCCCATCCCGGTCCCCCCTCCCACCTCCCTCTCCACCCGATCCCTCTGGGTCTTCCCAGTGCACCAGGCCCGAGCACTTGTCTCATGCACCCAACCTGGGCTGGTGATCTGTTTCACCCTAGATAATATACGTGTTTCGATGCTGTTCTCTTGAAACATCCCACCCTCGCCTTCTCCCAGAGTCCACAAGTCGAGAACAGACATTTTAGTATAACATTGCTGACACTGAGTTTTATCATTTAAACATAAATTTTCCATTAAGTAGTTGAAAAGAGATATGCTTTTACTTTATATTTTATCGACTATTATAGGATTCTTTGAGAACATATTATCAATGTTGCTAAATAGTAAATGTTTAGTTTTGTATTTCCTTATGTGTAAATATTTCATATTCTTTGTTTAGTCAATTAAATCTTAGGGTTTTTAAAAATTTATTTGTGTAAATACTCTGTATAATCAGAAAATTAACTGCTATTTACTGCACCCTTCTTTTGAGGCATGTAGTTTACTGTTGAATTTTGGTTCTGTTAGGGAGGATGGGTATTTGACACTGAGGTTCATTAATTGATCTGTTTAAATCTGTTGGTCTGTTACCCATTTTTTCAGTTGCTTCTGAATTTACCAATTCCATCTTTTTTCAAGTGTTTGACGAATATTTATTACTGTTTTCTTTTAATTTGCTTTAGTTTGAAAGTTTTATATTTTCACTATTTTTGTGTATGTTGTAACATGAAAGTTGCATTCTTTTGTCTGTCTGTAGAGGTTTTAGTTCAGTTGGGTTTTTGGTTTTTTGCATACGTATGCTATGCATTGTGGTAGGTGAGTGGTAGGTGGCTTATAAAGATGAAGGCACATGGTATAAATGATACAAGGCAGTGGTGGGAAGGGAGTGAGCTTGGAGACAGATGCAGCTGAATTGGAATGCTCACAGTGCTAATAGTTCCAGAATAGACCAATCACTTAATTTCCTGAGCCTTACTGTCTCTTCTTCTTAGGAGGGTGATAATATTTAACTTTTAGGTAAGTATTATAAGTATAACTTATTCTATAGGGTTGTTATGAGGATTAAATGAAAACCATGTATGGCACAGGGTGTGACGTACCATAGATGATCAGTTAATGTGAGTTCTCTTCCTTCATTAACTGGTCATACAACCCTGACATTAGATATCACAAATGGTACAATCCTCAATTGCTTGACCGGAGATCAAGAACATTCTTAGAATTAAGGATTTTTTTTTTTATTGGTGTATAGTTGCTTTACAAAGTTGTGTTAGCTTCTGCTGTATAACAGTGAACCAGCTGTATGTATACACTTACCGCCTCCCTCTCGGGGAGGCGATCACCCCTCAGGACATCACAGAGCACTGAGCTGAGCTCCCTGTGCTAGGCAGCAGCTTCCCACTAGATACTTCCAAAATTCAAGCTTTTGAGAATTTAAAAATATAGTGTTGTCTCTGTAGTTTGTTGACCTTATAACAGTAATGAACAAACCCCAAGTCTCACTGGTTTTCTGTAGTGAACAGTTTTTTCTTGCTTATGTTCCACATGAGCAGCTGAAGGTGGCCATGGGTCTACTGCTTTGGCATTTTCCTGTGTGCTTCTCATTCCACGACCCAGGCTAAAGGAGCAGCTCTCATGGTGGAAGGGAAAGAGGAAAGGAGCTGGCAGAATATGCAGGGCTTTTAAAACATCTGCTTAGATATGTTGTACTCCAGTGTATTCACATTCACCTGGCCAAAGCTAGGCCCATGGCCAGTCCTGAATATGGAGCAGAGAAATAAAAGGGACAGGTTGCAGTGTCAGGGCAGTGGCTGTGGGTGGGGATGTATAATCCTCTTACTGGGATAGAGGGAGAAAATGATGGGCTTTATATTCACTGAAACATTTAATCCTGGCAATATTCATTGAAACATTTAATCCTGGCAAAGGATCAGGAAATCAGCTCTCCATTTACAGATGAGGAAACTATAGGGTTGGCCAAGAAGTTCCTTTTCGTAAGCTGTTATGGAAAAACCTGAACGAATGTTGTGGCCAACCCAATAAAAAGTTTCCAGAGAGGGTAAGGACTTTCCCTGAAGTCATGCTGGCATGTAAGTGATAGAGTCAGGATTGGAACTCAGACCCTCGGCCTCCATAACCAGGGCTCTTTCTTTACTCTTACATCATTTTAAACTTTGTCATTATAAGTAAAGAAAATGTTAAATATTAACAGTGTACTAAATGCATGTTTATATGTGTATATTTTATATAAGTTTAAAATAGTATGCTAAAATAGGGCTGCTTATATTTTACCATTTCATGTGTTGAAGATGGCCTGTTACATCTAATTTTGAGAAACAATCATTGTTCTAAAAGTAAAAAACTGAAAATTGTTTTTTAGGTTGTCCTTTGTGGAGGGTCTTCTCGAATCCCAAGGCTACAGCAAATGATTAGAGATCTTTTCCCAGCTGTTGAGCTTCTCAATTCCATTCCTCCTGATGAGGTCATCCCTATTGGTGCAGCTATAGAGGCAGGAATCCTTATTGGGAAAGAAAGCCTTTCAGTGGAAGATGCTCTTCAGATAGAGTGTTCGGCCAAGGATATTTTAGTTAAGGTATATTTAGCTTGTCTTTACTTTTCCATACATAGTATAAAGTTATTGCCACAGGTTTACATACATATGGTTTTTAAAATAAAACCTTGTATACTGGTAAAAATTTTAAATTTAGGTTTATAATTTTACTTGTAATGAGTTTCTAATATTCTTTCAGTTGATACTAATCTGTTAGTTTCTTAATTTGCTATCATTTTAATCATAAGCTTCTAATACAAGTTGAAAAGTGTATGTTTCAATTTATTTTTAAAGTGGGCTGGGATTAAGGATTGGTTCTATTTTCTTCTCTTTGCTGCTTTATAGTGTTGAGATTATCAACAAGGAATATATTGTCATTTCTAATAGGAATGATTTTTTTCTCATTGTAATGATATCAAAGGATGTGCATATTATTTTCCTGCTTATTAGGGAGTTGATGAATCAGGAGCCAACAGCTTCAAAGTACTGTTTCCATCAGGGACTCCTTTGCCAGCTCGAAGACAACACACATTACAGGCCCCTGGAAGTATATCCTCAGTGTGTCTTGAACTCTATGAGTCTGAGGGGAAAAACTCTGCAAAAGTGGAAAACAAGTTTGCACAGGTGAATGTATCAGATTATACTATGAATTAATCACATGAAACTGTTTAGCTTTTCCTTCTAGTTTAGGCTCAGTTTAACATTAATTCATAAACTGTGCATATAGGACATTTAACACTTTTTTTTAAAATAAAACTTATTTAGACAGGCTGAAATGATTATATGCTAATTTGAACAGGTAATCTGTACAAAAAATTTTCATTTTTTATTTCCTTCATGTTGGATTCCGTCATGTGTGCATTGTTCTTTCTTAGACCTTGAAAAAAAAAATACAGTCTACTTTTTAACCAGCCATTTATTCCCCTCTTTGCCTTGTTTAGAAATTCTTAGGATCCCTCAGACAGTTCCTTGTGGAATGAGCTTTCCTCTTCTCCCCCAGCCAGCCCCAGTGGGTTCACCTTTACAGGCTCTGGGACTAGGACAGGAAATAAGACATGAATGTTTCTTCACTGGGATTAACACATTTTTATGAATGGATTAATTGTACTTATTCATTTTGGAAAGAGAAGAAACAAGCTATTTCAATTTGAAAGAGGAAAACGAAAACAAAGTACAGTTGTGTTTCTACTGCTCTTTGTGCTCTCTAACCTCCTTGACAATAAGGTCAGTGGCAGGGGAAATGACATTTATTTGTTTGCTAAATGCCAAGTGTGCTCTACTAGGCAATTTACAAACATAATCCCAAGTGCTATGAGATAGACATTGTTGTGTGCATTTTATAGGTGATTAAGAGACAGGCTCATGATAGTAAGTACCTTGTGCTTGATTGAGCTGAGGTTTATCCTCAGGTTGGTTTTACTCCTGAGCCCATGCTCTTGCCATTGCACCATGCTGCCTCTGACATAGGATAAGTTTGCTTTTTCAAATACTACATGCTTAGATCATATGATATGGTCCTCTATATCGTTTAAAAAGTATCAGGTGGAGCCATGTAATTTGCTTAGAAACATGCCCAAGAAATAATGGACTTCCCAAGTGGCACAGTGGTAAAGAATCTGCCTGCCAGTGCCGAGACACAAGAGACCTGGGTTCAATCCCTGGGTTGGGAAGATCCCCTGGAGTAGGAAATGGCCAACCATTCCAGTATTCTTCCCTGTGCTCCTTCAGCTAGTAAAGGTTTCAAAGCTCCTCCATATGCTTCTGCAGTGTATCACTATAAAAGTACTTTGCTGTACGCCAGGCTCTAAACTCAGATGGAAGTCTAGTATTCATCTCTTGAATCAGAGCATTTCTTACATTTTCTCTGGACACACTGCTCTGAGACTCTGCAGCTACCAGATGCTGGAAAGGAAAAAACTAGTCACATAATACTGAATTTGGAAGAGAATCTTCTACAGATTCCATCTGGTCTAACTGCCTCAGTTTACAAATGAGTAAACTTGGTGTTTACCTAAGGTCATAAAATTTGATGTTGGCAAAATCTGAAAAGTCACTTTCAAACTTGCTCTGTTGGTATGCCTTTCTTTAGGAAACCAAGGAATTTTATAGTAAATCCATTAATAATTCTTGCTTAACAAACGTAATCATACTAGTACAAAATAATTTGACACATATTTCTTTTAAATGGTTTTTTTCAAGTGCTTTAAAAATATTTGAATTTTTTAAAGTATATATAAAAGGCTTGCCAAAATGTAACGTACACATTACTGTAATGGTGTAATCACCAAAAAGAAAAACAGTCTTTATTTTCTGAGACAAACAGTATCATTTTAATCTAGGACATGACATTTAAAAGGGACAAATAATATTAGTTATCTTCCATGCCCTCCTTTTAGAGGAGACGTGTCAGTTAAGAAAGCTTAATTCTATGTTCTGAATTATGGTAAATGGTAAAAGAACTGAAATCAGCCCTGTTTTAAAAATTTTTTTCAGTAATGAATAAGATTTAGTTCATTGGAATAATTGATGCATCAGTTTATTAATGCCAAAATACTGAATCATCTTTGTATTGTTTTTGCCTAAACAGGTTGTGCTCCAGGATTTAGATAAAAAAGAAAATGGATTACGTGATATATTAGCTGTTCTTACTATGAAAAGGTAAAAAATTAATGTACTTCTGATGTTAAGAAAATTTGCTTTGAGATTCTACCTTTTTTTCAATTGATTCTTTCTGTTGTCACTCTGAGAAAATCATTTATTAAAAGCTTATAAAAATCTTATCAGTAACTTAAATTTTTCCCTGTAAAATTAACTGTATTTACAAAGAAAAGTATATCTCAAGTCATTAGCATTCTGAATTCTTTGTTACTTCTTTTATTATTATGGGGGTAGTCAATCTAAAAAAACTGGTCCATGCAAGTTTAAGATATAATTTTTATCGACTTTAAATATGATTTCCTAAGGTTTACATAATTGATTTTTGTCCTATGAAAGGGTAAGTTTATTTCAGTATTTCAACAGGAAATCTATAGGAAATATAATAGTCCATCCATAATACTATGTCTTACAAGTAAATCATTTCCAAATCAACATTAAGGGTAATTTATTCCATAAATCATATTTAGCCAGAATGTAGAATTCATTAGGGTAGATCTATCATGGCCCAGGATTGAAAACAACTTGATGTATCTTGAACTTGCATAAAGTTTTCAACTCAAGGTCTTCATCATCTTGGGTTCTCAAGGAACACAACCTTCATCATAGTGACACAGAAGGAAATTTTTAAAGAACAACTACCTAAGTATGGCATATGATTCTAAATGTAAAGACATGAAGTTGTATTTCAGTTATTTATCTCTTAATATGCTTCTTTTATTTTTATTTTTTTTTAATATGCTTCTTTTAAAAGGTAAAATGATCTCTTGTTTATTTAAAGTCCTCAAATAGTTTCTTACGAACGTTCTGCTTTTATAAATTGAGCTTATGAAGTGTTACTGTTTTTTGTTTGCATAGGGATGGGTCTTTACACGTGACGTGCACAGATCAAGAAACTGGAAAATGTGAGGCAATTACTATAGAGGTGGCATCTTAGTATTTTAGAGGAACCATGAATTTTTTAAATCTAAAATGTCAACATTATTTCATTTTGTTTAAGAATGTTTATATTAAAATACTTTTCAAATGACCTGTATGATCTATGTTTCTATTAAACTATAGTATATTGTTAAGTGTTGCAAACTTTTTTTTGTTGTTTTCCACTTAAGATTTCCATTATTAGTGGGAAATACAAGGAACTTTTTCTATCATGAACCTACTTAGAATAAAATCAAGTGGCTTGAAGAAAACTTTACCAGAAATTTAATGTTGCAGTTAAATATATTTTCTGTCTTTATAACTTCTAATTTTAAGAAATTCTTATTAATCAGCTAAGAACAGTTTAAAAGTCTTCGATGTTAAATGAAAGAAATCACAGAGCCATGTGCAAAGTAAGATACCATTTTTGCTTTAAAAAAAAAACAAACACAACAATTGTTTATAAATCCACACGTGACACATGTAGAAAAAAGGATGGACAACTGAACACCAAACTCTTAACAGTGGAGGGAAATACATGGGATGTACTTTTTATAATTATCTTAAGGTTGATTTTTTTTTTTCCTCCAACAAACATGTTTTTCATTTGAAATTGAAAGGTTTTTTTTTATTTTGAAGAAAAGCCTAGCCACTTTCTATTCACCAAAAAATGCTGACTAGTGCATTGAGAATAGTTAGGCGGATAATAAGGAAAAAGGTTTTTCCTCTTAGTAAAACAAGACAACTAATCTGTCTGTATTGAAGAGAGAGCTTGAAGGTGAGCCATGTGCATCAGGCTCTAGATTTCATTACCAAGGGAGGATTTTCCACTTGTTTCTTTCCTTGGTTCCCAGTGGACTTGAGAAGGGGAAATATATTTACCCAGTAAAATTTTAAAACTCTGCTGTTTTTTCACTTGTTCAAGACTTTGAAATGTGATTTATTATTACCGTTGATTTTTATGGAGACAGATGACAGTAATCTTCTATTTCTTAAATGGAGAAACTAAACTTAAATCTATTATTCTGCATCAAATTATGGACAGAAGCACCAAGGAAAATTCAGGTATGAGTCTAATAAGTCCACAAAGAGGCAGCCTCAAAGGTCTGTCCTTTGATTAAAGGCTAAGTACTTAGTTATCTTTTATTTTCTTGTCCAAAGTTTTAAAAACTTTGAAATAAAGAACTTCCCTGGTCATCCAGTGATTAAGAATCCTCCTGTCAATTCAGGGGACACAGGTTCTACCCTTGGTCTGGGAAGATCCCACATGCCGCAGAGCAACTAAGCCCATACATCACAACTACTGAGCCCACGATCTAGAGTCCATGAGCCACAGCGAAGACTCAGTACAGCCATAAATAAATAAATAAAACTTTTTAAAAGACTTTGAAATAAAATGATTATATATGAGCTATTAAGTGTTTCTAGAATTTAAGAAAATACCAGCTGAACTAGTTGAACTGCTACATCTGCTTTCAGTTATGCTTTGGAAAAGTGCTGTAGCATTTTATTTTGTAGCTATAATTAGCTGTTTAGACAAGGGGTTGGCAAACTATTGGCAGTGTGTCTGTCCTACCCTACACCTGTTTTTGTCAATACAATTTTATTAAAACATAGCCACACTCAACCGTGTACGTATTGTCTGCGGCCGTTTCTCACTATAATGGGAGCAGGGACTGTGTGACCCACAAAGCTTAAAATATTTACTGTCTAGCCCTTTACAGAAAACGTTTGTCAACCCCTGAAATAGATTAGTGAAACTCACAGAGTAAAATATAAGCATTTATCCAAGAGTTTTCTTTCCTTCCATATCCAGGTAATACTTTACTTGTTTGACTGCTTTCTCCACTGGATTATTAAGCATTGTGAGAGCAGCAGACTCTCAGTCTAAGATACCACTGTATCCCAACCCCCAGAATAGTCCCTGAACTATGTTCTTAAGAGTCAACTGTACTCCCAAATTTTCTTAAATCCACAACTGACAAGATTTTTTTCTTTTTTGAATTTGTGGAAGATTTGCCAATTAAACTTCCTAGTGTTTTGTTTTTTCTTTTAATTTTTCAAGGTGAAGATCCTTTAACATTTTTCTTATTATAAAATGACATACTCATTATGAAATTAAAATTAAAGAAGCAAACATAAAACATCCTCTAGCACCTGGAATAACAAATGTTAAGATATTTTAGTGAACATCTTGATAATCTTTTCATTCACTTACCATTTTTGCAGTGTCTCATGTACATTAAAACACTTGAGCACTTTTATTAGCAGAAGGTTATGTCAGATTATAATTTTGCCTGCTGACACACCTGACATTGTCTAAAGGACAGAGCCAAATACAAAAAGAAATGCCTGTATACAGTATGATACCTAATAATACACTCACAGTATATATAATACTGTGAAAGTCTTAGGTCACAAACTATCTCATCACAGTTTTTAAAAATTGAGAAAACAGTGTCAGAACACAAAACTAGAGGGAAATGCCAGAATTTCTAAAATAAAGTGATCATGTAACATTTATAATAGTATTGCTCTTTATTTGCTTTAATTCGTTCCTTTTTAAATTGTGATCTCAGCACATGAGTAGTTGCAATATAGAGAGAGTAATATGGCATGTATTATTTTTGTGTTCTAGATGTGGAAATAGATTCAGATAAGTTAAATAATTTCTCAAGGTCTCAGAGCAAATAAATGGGTTTTGAACTAATATTCAAGTGCTTTTTTGGTATACTTAATTTTTCTTGATTGCGTACTATTCTAAGCACATTATGTGCATTTTTTTTTTCATTTAAAGTCACATTTTCTGGTGTCCATTCTGCTACTATCCTATAACTCTCAAAGAAGAAACTTTATGTAAATGGAAAAGGAGACATTCCATGGACCTTCAAAAGTATGTTTTCTGTGGTTTTTATTAAAAAAAAAAATTGGGAGGTGGAGGCATAATTCTGTATTTGTTTTTCTTGAGGACACTGGTGTATGTTGTTGTTTAGTCACTGAGTTGTTCAGTGACTTTATTTCTCTCTTCATCTACAGCCAGGATTTACCAACATCTCAAACTTTTTAGTCTCATGATTCCTTTATACTCTTTGAAATTACTGAAAACCTAAGGAGCTTGCTATGTATACAGTTATTTGTTGCTATTGTTGTTCAGTCGCTAAGTCGTGTCCGACTCTTTGTGATCCCCTGCACTGTAACCCATCAGACTCCTCTGCCCATGGGATTATCGTGGCAAGAATACTGGAGTGGGTTGCCATTTCCTTCTCTAGGAGATCTTCCCAACCCAGGGATTAAACTCCTGCATTAGCAGGCAAATTCTTTACCACTGAGCCACACGAACTTCCCCCGTAGTGTTATTTACCATATAGAAATTAAAGCCAAGATATTTTTAAAATAATCATTCATTTGTAAATTAAGTTAACATTAGCACAAGTAACATTTTTGAAAATGACAAATTTAGTGGCAAGAGTGGTATTGTTTTATATTTTTCAAATCTTTTTAATTTCTGGCTTAAAAAGATAGCTCTATTTTATTATCTGTTCCTTCATTCAGTCTGTTCCAGGGTCCAAGTTGTGTAACCTCTGGAAAGCTTCCTCCTATACTCGAGAGGAAAGTGAAGAAGGCAGATAACATCTTGGTATTATCATGAAGTAGTTTGGACTTATGACCCCCTGGAAGGATCTGAGGTGCTTGGACTTTACTTTGAGAATTGCTGCTCTAGACAGCAGACACAGTGATGTGTGTTGAAGACAAAAGGCCTAATCTGTTCCCTGGAATTAATGGGATCCAAGACTAAAGAAACAAAAGAAACAGTTGATTTATGAAAGAGTCTGATACATTCTATAAATTACTACTGAAACTGATCAAGACCCCGAAAACAGAGAAGATAACTTAACAGTTTGATAAGTACACTTTAGAGTGCAAAGGAGAATCTATTTTAGACAGGGTGACCAGGAGAGGTCTCTGAAGAAGTGACATTTAAGCTGAGACCCAGCCATGTGAAGAGAGGGAGGACCATGTCCTCTGAACTAGGAAGTAATTTGGGCTACCTTACATTATTTCCTTGTTTATTATCTGCTCCTCCCACAAGGAGGACAGGGTCTTTCTCTTTCTTGTCCATTGTTATATTCCCAGCACCTCATACAGAACCTGGCATGTAGGATATACATATTGACAGGTGTGTTTTTTTTTTTTTGGCCGCACCACACAGCATGTGGGATCTCAGTTCCCTGTTGTTATTTAGTTGCTAAGTCTTGTCTGACTGTCTGTAACCCCATGGACTGTAGCCCACCAGCCTCCTCTGTCCATGGGATTTCCCAGGCAAGAATACTGGAGTGGATTGCCATTTCCTTCTTCAGGGGATCTTCCCAATCCAGTAATTGAACCCACATCTCCTGCTTGGCAGGCAGATTCTTTACCACTGAGCCACCTGGAAAGCCTCTTAGTTCCCTGACCAGGAATCAAACCCATTCCCCCTACATTGGAAGCATAGAGTCCTAACCACTGGACCACCAATGGAGTTCTATAATGACAGATTTCTGAATGAGTAAAATAAGTCCTAAAGAATAGTGAGCAGAAGGAGAGAGACACAAAGATTCAGAAGACAGGATTCCAACCCCACTAAGATGTGTGGGCTATTAGAAGGTTGGGATTGTATTCTAGGTACGTTGGGAGGTATTTTAAAGCAGAAGGAGGCCATGTTCCACTTGGGTTTGAGTCCACATTTTCAGCTGTATGGAAGATGGACTGGAGGGGAGCAATAGTGGAGTGACATCAGGTAAGCTTTTCACAAGACTCTGGTTGTGAAATGATGGCCTGGACTAGTAGCAACAGTGATGGAGAGGAGAGGCAGAAGCAAGGTGTATTTTAGACCTATAACTAGCATGACTTGAGGATGAAATTAATTTGGAGAATAAAGATAGGGTGAATCAAGATGATGCCAGAATTACTTCTTAAACACCTGAGCAGGTGGCCCAGCATATGGAGGTGAGACAGTTCGTGGGGCTGCAGTGGAGAAGACCAGGCTGAGAGGCAAAAATCAAAGGTACTTTTCTGAGTACAGTCAGTCCCCTCTTACACAAGCTTTCACTTTCCAAAGTTTCAGTCCATAATTTCCAGTCCAAAGTTTCAGTTCCCATTTCATAAATGGAAAATTCCAGAAATATTATGGCTTAATATTAAGCTTTAAATTGCACAACTGTTTAGCATAGTGTGATGGCATCTTGGCTACCCTGGGACTTGAATCATCCTTGTCCAATGTATCTATCTCACCCCTCAGCCACTTAGTAGTCATCATCAGATTGACTGTCGTGGTATCACAGTGCTTGTGTTCAGGTCACCCTTATCTTGCGATCCACAGTCAAAGGCTTTAGTGTAGTCAATGAAGCAAAAGGAGATTTTTTTAAATTCCCTTGCTTTTTTTATGACCCAGCTATGTGAAAGCATTTGACTGTCTGGATCACAACGAACTGGAAAACTGTTAAAGAGATGGGAATACCAGACCATTTTACCTGCCTCCTGAGAAACTCGTATGCAGGACAAGAAGCAACAGAACACAACATAGAACAAGGGACTGGTTCAAAATTGGGAAAGAAGTACATCAAGGCTGTATATTATCACCCTGCTTATTTAACTTATATGCAGAGTACATCATGCAAAACGCCAGACTGGGCAAAGCACAAGCTAGAATCAAGATTGCCAGGAGAAATACCAACAGCCACAGATATGCAGATGATACCACTTTAATGGCAGAAAGTGAAGAGGAACTAAAGAGCCTCTTGATGAAGGTGAAAGAGGAGAGTGTAAAAACTGGCTTAAAACTCAGCATTCAAAAAACGAAGATCATGGTATCTAATTCCGTCACTTCACAACAAATAGGAAAAGTGAAAACCGTGACAGATTTTATTTTCTGGGGCTCCAAAATCACTGCAGACGGTGACTGCAGCCACCAAAATAAAAGACACTCGCTCCCTGGAAGAAAAGCTATGACAAATCTAGACAGCATATTAAAAAGCAGAGGTATTACTTTGCTGACAAAGGTCCGTATAGTCAAAGCTATGGTTTTTCCAGTAGTCATGTACAGATGTGAGAGTTGGGCCATAAAGAAGGCTGAGCACCAAAGAATTGATGCTTTCAAACTGTGGTGCTGGAGAAGACTCTCTTAAGAGTCTTTTGGACAGCAAAGAGATCAAAAAGACTGCTTCGGTCTGTCCTAAAGGAAATGAACCCTGAATGTTCATTGGAAAGACTGATGGTAAAGCTGAAGCTCAAATACTTGGGCCACCTGATGGTAAGAGTCAATTCGTTGGAAAAGACCCTGATTCTGGGAAAGATTGAGGGCAAGAGGAGAAGGCAGTGACAGAGAATGAGATGGTTGGATGGCATCACCGACTCAACGGACATGAGTTTGAGCAAACTCAGGGAGGGTGGTGAAGGATAGGTAAGCCTGGTGTGCTATGGTTCATGGGGTTGAAAACAGTCAGACATGACTTAGATGTGTATGTTTAGGGAAAACCATAGTATATGTAGGGTTCAGTACTATCTGTGGTCTCAGGCATCCACTGGGAGTCTTGGAACATACTCCAGGCGAATAAGGGGATATATACAATTTGATATGTTGGTTTAAACACCTAAGTGGATATGTCAGCTAGGCACTGTGGATATTCAAGTCTGGAATTGAGAACAGAGGTCAGGACTGGAGACTGAAAGTTGGGAACCTTAACTAGAAAGATATTTAAATCCATAGGAATTGAGGCAGTCACTTAGGAAAAGAGCGTAAGAGAAATGTCTCAAGGCCAAATCTTGAACCTCAGCATTTAGGTTGGATAGAGGAAAGGGAGCCAACATAGGAGTGAAGAGTGGCCAGTGAGGTGGGGGAAAACCAAGAAATAGCAACCCACTCCAGTATTTTTGCCTCGGAAATCCTATGGACAGAGGAGCCTGGCTGCCTAGAGTCCATGGGGTCGCAAGAGTTGGACACAACTTAGCGACTAAACCATTACAAGATGCTCATTATAGAAAATATGTAAAAACAAGAAGTCAAAAAGGAAACCACTTTCCTGAGACTTTATATCTCTCTTCCTATACATTTCCTACATAGTTGAAACTATATTTTACAACTTTTGGTTGTTTTATGTTTCAATAAGTTTTGTTAAACACTTCTCTATGACACCAAAGGCTTCATAAATATCTTTAATGGCTTGACAGTATTTCATAATGTAATCAAAACAAATCAATTCCTTTAATGTTCTGTGTTTATTCCCAACATGGCAAACTTACATAGAATGCTTTAAAATCTTTTTGTATTTTACAGAAATTTTTAAAAATCTTCGGTAGACGTCAAACGGCCTTCTACCGAACTTCTGCGATTTACTCTTGAAAGATTTCTGCTTCAGATTGTTTAGAACAGTCACCATGGATGCGGTGTGATGGATGGATGAGGACGGGGTGGGAGTGGAGACCTGTGTGGTCCAGGTATGAGGACCTGGGCGTCCCGCAGCCAACAAGGATGCGGCTCCCCACCCCCAGGCGTGGGGCATAGCCCAGAAGCTAGTCAGAAACACACAACTCCAGATCTCAGCCCTCCCCCCCCGCCCCCACTCAATTCCAATCTGCATGTTCACAAGATGTCCAGATGACTCCTATGCCCTTTCAGGTGTGAGAAGCACTGATCTAGACCAGCGGTTTCAAACTGCACACTGCGAATCACCAGGGAGCTTTAAAAATTCCAACGTCCCCCGTTACACCCCGTTCCTATTGGATCTCCAAGAGTGAAACAAAAAACAAAACCTCCAAGGGGTCCAATGTACAGTCAATTTTGGGAACGTGTGATCTAGAGGCAGAGCCTAGAAGGAAAAAAGGGTCTGTTGGGCTCAGGTGGCCGAAGAATAATTATTGGGGCGGGGGGGGCGGGACGTACACTGCGTTTGGAAATCTGCACATTGTACACGCAGCGCCCAGGCAGAAGAAATAATTACTGTAGGAAAGCCTGACTGATGCCCGTACCCTGAACTAGGCGCTCAGCCAGCCAGGCCAGGTCAGGTGGCCACTCACCTAGGCGAGCGCTCCCAGATTCCGACGCTTGTCCCGCCCCCGCCCGCATAGTCCCCGCGAAAGACTTGGGGCGCAGGCGCACTCGCCGTCGCGGCTGGGACGGCCGCCGCTGACGTCAGGACGCCTCGCGGATTCTAGGCCCCCGCCCAGGCTCCCGAGTTTTGCGCGGGCTGTGCGGGGGCGGGGCGTTGGGCCAGCTGAGCTATCCCGTCAGACCGCGCCAGTTTGAATGAAAGCTCCTCAAGATGGCGGCGGCCGGGGCCGAGGCGCCAGGAGGTGAGGGCTGGAGAGCGGCGCCCCACACTGTCCCCCGTCCGCCGGGCAAACTCCCGAGGCCCGAGAAGCTGGGCCGAAACGCGCGGGCCGGCCAAAGCGCGACGCGGCGAGACATCGCCTTCCGTGCGGCTGACACTGCGGCCCCCAGACGCGCGCCGCGGGCTCCTCCCTGCCCCCGGCCCCTGACCCTCCTCGCGGCTCGGCCCGCCCGCTGCCCGCAGTCTCTTCCCGCGCCCGGCCCTCTCGAGGCCCGGCCCCCGCCCTCCGCTGCTGTCCCACCGACCCGGCGGCCCAGCCCCCGCCGCCGGCCGGCCCCGACACCCCACCCCGCCCGACCGCCGTTTGGGGGCAACCGGGTGGCTACGGCGGATCCTTGCGCGGCTCGAGGTCCGTGGGCACGAGGGGGGCGCGACTCCTTTGTGATGGTTTGAGCGGGACGTTTGCGGTCGGGCTGGCTTTGGACTGGGAGCGGGAGGACCCCGGTGGTGTGGGTGTGACCTCAGTGTCGGAGGAGCAGAGAGAGGTCGGGGCTATGAGAGGTGTGAAGGCTAAGAAAGGAGATGAGTGAGGATGTACCCCGATTCGGACTCAGGGGGAGGACCGGTTCCCTGTTGGAGGAAATCCCACTAAGTGGGTACTGGAAGCGGTAGCCCCTGGCTCACGGGAATCTTCATCCCTGCCGGGAAGGAACTTGCGTGCTGTTTCTGTGGTCGCCAAAGAATTAGGTGCTGAACGTGTGTTTGTGCGCGCGCTCCAAGACTGGAACTTTCAATGCCTCTGAAACGGAAAGGTGTTTTCCAGCACTGCGCCTCTCCGCGTGGATTATGGACTCATTATCGCCCAACTTTTCCTCCGCTAGGGGTTAGTGTGAACTAGTGTCAAGTTCTTGTGGTGGTCATGAAATGTTTACTCTTAACCAATGAATTCTCTTTCTACGTTATTAGAGACAGATTGGTTACCGGGCGGGGGGCGAGGGGGTGCGGTGTCGTGTGTTCCAAGTTTTCTTACTCTCAAAACTAGCATTTCCGTGGAGGGTTGCGTCTTGAATTCTTCTGTTGCTTGCACTAAGTGAAATTGGTAGGAACAGCAGACAGATACACCTTGGATAGAAAGTCCAGGTGGTCGGCACAAAACATCCTGAGGCTTTTTAAATGGAAGAGATGGATATAAGGGGTGGTTTGTATTCCACTACTCCCCTACCCCCAAACCACCCCTCAAATTTTTTAGGGGAAAAATACATTTCACTTTCTTGATCTGTAACTGAGTTCTTTGGGGTGGGAAGGAGTGGGGCTGGAAATCGTATTTCAGGTTTTCTGACCAAGAGACCCCTGGGTGAGTTTGGGAGGGCGAGGAACCGGTATACAAGGAGCAGCTCTTCTCTCTTCCCTGCAAATTACCTCCAAACCCAAAAGGTTATCACAGCTACCTTGGAAAGCTGCCAAGTAAAGCGTGCGTTTACTGATGGATTTTGTTTGGTTTACTCCCAGTTTACTCCAGCCCTCACATTTTTTTCAGTGAAGCTGAAACCCAGTAAGATGGAAACCTCCCTAAAGTCATGTAGTCAGGTGGCCTCGAGGGGGCTGGAACAGAGGACCCTTGATCCTCTCTGGTGTTTCTCGTGGCACTTGCCGGAAAGCCAAGTTTATTCTGTGTTTCTAAACGTCAGTTTGTGTTAACCTATTTTTAAAAAATATTTATTTACTTAATTTGGCTGTGCCAGGTCTTAGTTGCAGGTATGGGGGATCTTCTATCTTAGATGCAGCATATGGGATCTAGTTTCCTGGCCAGGATTGAATCTGGGCCCCTGTATTGGGAGCTTGGAGTCTTAGCCACTGGATCACCACCCTGTGTTAACCTATTTTTAATGCAGTGTGGTGGCATACTCTTAACAGGAATTTGAGGGTAGACTCTCCCACAGCACTGTTACTGGCTTCTATAAGGTTGATGATGAGTGTATCTAATTTTCTTCAGACTTGGTGTAAATTGAATACTCTGTATTGTCATCTTTGGCTTTGAAAACAATACAGGAAGTGAGTATTACAAAACTCAGTATACTCTTCATTATTTTATTGTAACCCTTGGGTTAATTTACCTTGCTAAACTACATTGCTGCATGGGCAAAATTGAAGTTAAAATTTCATACAACCTTCCCAAATGGGAAAAGTGGATCATATGATGTCACAAGTATATAACTATAAAATTAGATTTCAGTTCTTATTGCTGGACGAAGAGAAGGGGAAAATTACTTTTTAACAATGTAAGATTATTTTAAAATATATTTAAGATATATCTCTAATAATTTTGTGCTTGAGGTCTACATTTGACTAAAACAGCAATTCTATATAGAATACAATGAAAAAGTTAAAAATACTATCTCAGCCTATCTGTGTGTATAATCTCTGAAAGCTTATAGACATGAAACATTTTGTTTAGGTGGCCTAGTGGAAATTGATACAGTAGAGCAGAGACACATGAGAAAATCCAGGAAGAAATAATTACATGTAAATGGTTTCTTGAATTTTTAGTCTTACAAAATTGCCAGTTGAAGGGTGGGGATATAGAAGTCAAGATTTTTTGTTTTGTTTTATTTTAATTGAGTAGCTATTTCATTAGTAAAGAATTCTATTTTCTTATTGTAGCTTGGTGTGTGCCTTGCCTAGTTTCACTTGATACTCTTCAGGAATTATGTAGAAAAGAAAAGCTCACATGTAAATCGATTGGAATCACCAAAAGGAATCTAAACAATTATGAGGTGGAATACTTGTGTGACTACAAGGTAGTAAAGGTAAGGCAAATATCTAGACCCTTAAAAGAGACCTAATCAGACCTCCTTTTAGTATTTCATATTTCTGTAACATAAAGATAACCTTAAAAGTAAGCAAAGCTCTTCTTAATGGTTACAGTTCTCAGCCATAATAAATTTATATGTCCTGTCATCTGTTTTGCCAACTAACATTGAGAGGATTTTGAAATACAAAATGTTCTTACATTCAAATATTTCAAGGTGCTTATGTCATTCTACATCCAACTCTTGATTATCTCCATGTGGATTACCAAAGCAAATGTTTTAGCTCAGATTGGCTTCTCCTGTCATTCGTTTTGTTCCTGAATCATATTTCCCCACTATCACCTGAGATGAACCTAGAAATTTAAGCCAATTTTAATGTTACCAAATCTCAAGAAGCATCACCATTTGTATTTCCTGCCTTCCTGTCAAACTCCAGATAGCAATGAGGTTTTGTTGTGCAGTAGAACAGCCTGGAGCTCAGTCATTTCTAGCCTTTGTCTAGTGTCTTGTGAAACCAGAAAAGTCATTTAACTTCCCTGGGCTCCCTGTATTTCTGTTTCTGTTAAAAATGACAGGGTTGTTCTTCAAGAAGCTCTTTGCAGTCTAAACTTTACCATATACTTTTGAGTAACTCATCTCTCCATTGCCTACCTATTCTGTAAGAACTCTGGTTGTTCATCTGTCATTTCTTCTGGATGAATGAATCAGAAATCCTGTTTCCTTGTTTTCCTTCTCTTTCATCTTCCATATGGATTCTGCCATTAAATCCAATTCTTTGAAACATCCATCTTCTTTTGGTCTCACTGGCTTCCTCACTCAGTGGAATGTTGTGATGAAGCATTTCACCTACCTAGCAACTAAACAACAACAAAATTTTACCTACGCTGTCGGCACTCTCTGCACTCAAGGCTGCAGTCTTCAACCCCCGAACAGCCCAGTCATCTGCCATTTCAGTTTATAAACTCTTGCCTGACCAGTCTAGCTGCAGGGGTCATATAATCACACTTCTTGGCTCTATTACATATTATTTCTGTTCTCACACTGCTCAGTTCCACTGGACAAGTTTTTATCTTTCACTTGCTTCTTCCATTCTTGTCATCAGTTTTCCCAATTATAGCTTTTCTGGACTTCTTACTGTGTCCCTCACCCTCTCATACTCAGCTACAGACTTCTACCTCTTTGGATCCTCCAGGTATGAACTCTCAACTTACTTCACACCAGTTATCTGTATCTTTGTTAAGTGGTTGCACCTATTTTTCTTTTTCCCCCTGCCCATCCCTTTTAGAACTTTGCTTAATCTTTGATGTCTTTTTTTTTTTTAATCAAGTGCGGTTTTTTTCACTGGTTTATCTTAATTGATAAATCAGATTTTCCCTAATCTTTCTTTGATCTTGCATCCCCACTCAAGCATTTCCTATCTTTTCCTTCTTCCTCATTTCCCATCAGCTTTTAAATACAGCTTTATTGACACATAATTCACATACCCTACAATTCACCAATTGAAGCTGTACAATTCAAAACTTTTTGCGCACACGCAGAATTATTCTAAAATTGGTTGTAGCGGTGGTTGCACATTTTCATTAACCTAAAAAGAAACCCCATACTGCTTAGCCATCACCCCCCAAACCTCTCCAGATCTTTTTCCGTTAACCCTCGGCAACCACTAGTCTACTTTCTGTCTCAATAGATGTCCCTATTTGGACATTTCATGTACCTGGAATCATACAGTATGTATGTGGTCCTTTATGATTGGCTTCTTGCACTTAGCATAATATTTTCAAAGTTCATTCATACTATAGCATATATTAGTACTTTTTTTTATTGCCAGATATGTCATCACATGACATATATGGACATAGCACATTTGATTCATCTGTTCATTACTTCATGGACATTTGGGTTGTTTCTATCTGGAAGCTGTTATAGATAATGTTACGAACATTCACGTACAAGTCTTGGGGTGGGCATGTTTTCATTTCTCTTGGATGTATATACCAAGAAGATCAGCTGCTGGTACCTCTATGGTTTAACCATCTGAGGAACTGCCAAACTGTTTTCCAAAGTGACCTCACCATTTTACATTCCCACCACCAGTGTGAAGGTTTTGATTTCTCCACATCTTCACCAATACCTGTTATCTGACTTTTTGATTATAGCTGTCCTAGTGGGTGTGGAACATCTCGTTCTTTTGGTTTGCATTTCTCTGGTGGCTAATGATGCTGAACATCTCCAGTGCTTATAGCCATTTGTATATCTTCTTTAGAGAACTATCTATTCAGATCCTTTACCTATTTTTTAAAGTTTTTAAAAAATGTATTATTTGTGGCTGCACTGAGTCCTCACTGCCGTGCAGGCTTTCTGTAGTTGTGGTGAGCAGCCTCCTCACTGTGGTGGCTTCTCTCGTTGCGGAGCCAGGCTCTAGGGCACAGGTTCAGGCTTAACCGTGCATGGGCTCAGTTGCCCTGTGCATGTAGGGTCTTCTCGGACCAGGGATGGAATCTGTGTTCCCTCCATGGCAGGCTGATTCTTGACCACCATATCACCAGGGAAGTCCCTACCTATTTTTTTTGAATTACGTTGTCTTTTTCTTACTGAGTTGTACTAGTTCTTTGTATATTCTAGATAGTCCCTTATCAGATACACAGATTGCAAAAACTTTGAGCTGTAGCTTGCTTGTAGTCCCCGTCTTACTTTTTAACCCACTCCGTTCCGATTTATGCCCCTATCAGTGACCTCCTAATTGCCACGTGTGAGGACCTCGGGTCTTGCTCTCCTTTGCAGCATCCTACCCTGTTGGCTACTCTTTCTTCCTTGAACCTCTTGTCCTGGAGAGACTGCCTGGGTTGATTCCGGCTCTCCCGTGTACAGTTGCATGACCTTCAATGTAGTACCTGGTTCTCTTTCCTTCAGTTTCTTCGCTGAGGTGAGTGGACAGTACCACCTCATGTTAGGTGGTACATGTCACAGGGTCTCTGTTAGCAGACTGACCTGTGGTGGTCCTGTGGTAGCGGCCTGTGCTGTCATCGTTGTTTTTCACCTCCATCTCCACTCCTTCTCACCACCCCTTTCCCTTCATGTTCTTTCTGAAGCTCCCTTACTGTATCTACCTCTCCTTCCTCTGAAATGTCGACACATAATCGCGAAGGTGCTCTCCTTGGCCCTCTTCTCCCCTGGAAGCTGCTCTGTAGATGACCTCTTCTCGGTGGTTTCTACTTACACTTATTTGACTAGTGACCCTCAAATCTCTGAGGCATTGTCTTCTTTCTGAGCTTCATTTCAAACTGGGCACCCTGTAGGTACCCACATTGAACATATTCAAAACTGTATCCATTTCCCCCCATCAAACCTGCATCTTGATCTAGTGTCCCCTATCTAGCTTCATAGAATTATAACCTTCACAGTGACCTATCTTTATAAATTCTTCTTTCCTCCCTACCCTCTAAATTTAATAGATCATCTGATTATGTGGTCTCTACCTCTTAGAGACCATATGTCTCTGTCTTTTGCTGTTAATTCCTGTTCCACTTTAACAGAGAGTTAATTACCAAGGAATCTGTACTTACATTGAAGGAGCTGCCAATTTTTTTTCTTATTCAGAATTCTGAGTCTTACAGTTCAGTTTGGGTAACTTTTGCTGTTAGTTTCTCCTTCAACCTTCTCCTTTTGGTTTCTTTGGAATAAGCACGCCTCCCACACTTATATCCTCGACAACTCACTTATATCCCTTACTTCTTCTCCTGCCTGACATAGATTATTTACTTTGTAAGCCAGTATTACTTCAGTATATGTCTACCTTTTCCTTCTGTCTGTCTTTCTGTCTTACAGTCAGGGCAGGTGAGAGATCTTATGACCCTGTCCTTTTCTTACATATTCCCCTCCATTTAGCTCATAGAAGAGATTGTCTCAGCACCATATTCTTCAGAGTCATTACAGTTTCTGAAACACAGCTCTGATTGCACTAGAACCTTCCTTTAGCCCTTTCAGTGGCTCCCTGGTGTCTGCCAATCTAACCTGAGTCCCTTTGGACTGATGTTCTCTATCATCAGGCCACCAACCCCCTTCCCAGCTTCATCTCCTATAACATGTCCTACTTCCCAACCACACTGATATGCTAGAAAATTCTTCCATGTAGCTAAGGCTTACTGAATGTGTAGTGTGAGCTGAGCACTCTTCTGAGCATTGAGAATTTAGCTTAACAACTGACAGAGCTTATATTCTAATTCCTGAATACATCATGCACCTTCGTGCCTTTTGACTTTTCTCATCCAGTTCTCTCTCTCAAACTTTTTCTTCCCTCCTTTGCAAAATCCTGCATGCCTGCAAAGTTCAGCTGAAAGGTTACACCAACCACAGAGCCTCCTTCCTTCCTCACCTCAGCAAAATTACTTTCTTTATTTTCAGGATAAGCACTGTTCTTGTCATTATTCTAGAACTTTTCACATTTTGTGGCTTTGTTTCATACCTTCCCTGCTTAACTATAAACCATTCGAGGGCCAAGAGTATGTCTTACTATAAACTGTAGTATACAGTGGGTATTTAGTTCATGGTTGATGAATTGGTTTTTTATGTCAGTTGTTTCTCCAGCCCTCACAATGACCACTGGATCAGGTCATCATAGCTTCATGCTTAAATGACAGCACCAATTTACTGACTAATGTCTGCTGATTCATCTTTCTGTAGTCTCACTCAGTATATATTTGAGATTTTTCTGTGTATCAGGTGCTACATTAGGCAACAGGAACGTAAAGATTAATGAGAAATGGTCCCTAACCTTAAGAAACTCACAGCCCAGTGAACAAGACTGATAAGTAAACCATCCAGTGCTATATAGACTAGTAAGTGCTAGGACAGACATCCTGACACGATTGGTGGGAGGAAGGCCTAGGCTGACTCAGAGAAGGCTTCCCGGAAAAGATAACATCCCGCTGGGGCCTCGTAAGACGAATGGAGGCTTTCCTTAAGGCTTTATACAGAGAATGGAGGGGAAGGATCTGGGA